GAACCTGACACATAGGTAGATGCTCAACCATTAAGCCACATCAGCCAGGTGGCCACACACATGTTTAAAGTCATTAATTGGTGCCAGGCAGAGGAAAGGGAGTGATTTATCAAAGTATCACTCATTTCCCTCTTTTTTCATTCCCTCCCCACACCTTATTCAAAGAGAATCTAAATTCTAAACTTAGGTCTATGAACTCCTTCAAATCATAACAATTTGTGAATGTGTATTTTTCTGGTAACAAGGTCCAAAAATTTCATAAGCTTATCAAAGGGGTCTGTTCTACTTCAAGAAAGGTGTTCACATGAACTGATCTAACTCGGGCCTCTCATTTCTCCAGCAAGGAAGCTGAGTCCTAGAGAAACGTAGAACTTGATGTAATGGATGGCAGATCCAGACTCTCCTACAAGGATTCCTTTGGAGTTGAGAGACATTTTCTCCTGTAGTGTCAGAATTCTTAGTAGGAACTGTGTTCACGTTTTGTATCTATTTTCAGACAGGAAGATTCTTTCTAGGTATCTCTTCTGCTGCCAGTTCTCCCTTCCCATGACATGCTCACTTTCCTCTGTATAACCAATGTGTGGTCTTGTGTCATCCAGTTCTGTGGTACCTGTGGCTCCTGAGCATTTTTTCCTGAGCTGTGCTTCCTGAATCTAAGAATCCAGTGGGTAGCATATGAAAACTGCTCCTCCCTGTCAAAGCATTTACCTAATTATTTTCATTTGAAGTCCTTAGGCTTGTGGCTGGCAAATTGGAGCCCTCAGTCCCAGGGGAGCTTTTTATTGTCAACAAGTTGGCACCGAGTCAGGGAACAAATACCTGTGTAGGCCATGTAGAGCTGGGATTGATATCTAGGAATTTCTCCTTCTAGTTTTTACTGTCTTGGCTTTACTTTATAAATAGGATTGAAGGAAGAGCATCTTGTTTCTAGTTGATAAAGATCTGTTACCACGCCAGAGCACTACTTTTTGGCATGACCATAAAGATTTCTTTATAAGTGGGGAATGAAGAACTTTCTAGGAATCTCAACCAGATTCTTGCTTGTGCCCTTTCAGTTCTGTGAATAGCATCCTCTGACTTCTCAAAGGCCTCTTGGTTCCCCTCCTCCAAATGAATCAAATAAAGTAATTAGAGCCCCCAAATATCCTGTCTGCCTGGACACTCCCCCAAACACTCCCCCAGTCATCTTCTGATGGCGTATCTATGACCTTACCCCAAAGTGTTCTTTTACTATATACATTGTGAACACAATTTAGTGCGTTTTTAAAAATAAAGAACACACTAGTCGCCGAAATCGGTTTGGCTCAGTGGTAGAGCGTCGGTCTGCGGACTGAAAGGTCCCGGGTTCGATTCCAGTCAAGGGCATGTACCTTGTTTGCGGGCACATCCCCAGTAGGGGGTGTACAAGAGGCAGCTGGTCGATGTTTCTCTCTCATCGATGTTTCTAGCTCTCTATCTCTCTCCCTTCCTCTCTGTAAAAAATCAATAAAATATATTAAAATAAATAAAGAAAGAACACAAGAAATAGATTTTTATAGGTTTTGATGATTTCAGAGAGGGAGAGAGACGGAAACATCAATGATGAGAAAGGATCATTAATCAGCTGCCTCTTGCACGCCTCACACTGGCGATCAAGCCGGAAATCCAGGCATATGCCCTGTTGGGGAATTGAACCGTGATCTCCTGGTTCATGGGTCGAAGCTCAGCCACTGAGCAACTCTGGCCAGGCCAGTTTAGTGCTTTTTCCAGAATCATCTCTCCTAGTTTGGCTTACAAGACACACAAATAGCTTTTATCCAGAGCTTTTTTTTTTTTTTTTTAATACTTTTGCTAATGATTATAATACTTAGGAAGCTGCAGGGCATCGGAATACCCACAGGGGGCAGCACTAGGCATGACTCTTCCGCTCTAGTCCTTTGGCTTAGAGAGGGGAAACTGGGAGAGGTTGATTTTCCCCTCCACCCGGCTTCAGAATCCCCTCGTTGAGATCCAAGACTCCTTTGCACCAGGCTGTTTGCTTGCTCAGTGTTGTTTTAGCTCTCCTGAGGAATCCAGTCTCGATTTTTCTTGGTAATAAAAAGCAACATAAAAATATATCTGAGCCACGCAACCTCCTACAAATTAATCTGCCTGCACATCATTTCCAGGCACCATTAGCATTTGAGGTGAAGTTCTGTTATACACTTAGGCTGTGGCTCTCTGAAAGTCAGTGCATCACAGAACTTTGTCTCGAAAGCTTTCTCGCAGCTACCCATTTGGGCGTGGGAGGAAAGAATAGACCTTTTAAATCCCTTGAACATGGTCCTAAGCTTGTAGGTCTTTCTCAATCATCAGCATTTCATGTGTTACAAGGTCAAGCCTAGTCCATTGCTGAGGAAGCCCATTTCTCAATGGCTGGGAGTTATTTATAAACTTGCCCTTTGCTAAAACTTAAAAATGAAATTGCATTATCAGTAATGGCTTCTGGGGCCTTTAAACTGGCTGGTTTTATGGTGTGAGAGGAATCCCTGGCCCTTCCCACTCCTGAGATGTAAAGGCCCCGGGCTGAGTGTAACCAGCTGCAGTCAGGAGGTGGCAGGAGAAGTAAAGGAGAAGCTGCTGACTCCAGCTGGAGCGGAATAGAGGATTAAAGCAGCATTTAAGCTCCTGCCTAAAAGCTCAGCCTGATTTAGTGTTGTTACTCCCTTGGAAGTTTGAAATGACCATCTCCTTCTCGTGCCTTCTTACCCCTTTCAGAGCTGTAAAATAAGTCCTATCTGATCTTCTCCCTGACTTCCTTTGCCCGTGTGTTATCTTTCCCAGGAAGATCCAGTATTTTTATTTGGGGGGTTTTCTTGATAGCATCTTCTAAAAAACTCATGAAAAGAGCCAGAGAGCTGTTTCTCTTTTCTGCAAGCTGCTGTAGGCACTCCCACTTCCTTGGCCACACAGGACATGGTCTGACTCTCCTAGCTGGCAGGTGGCCGGCCATAAGGGTTTTTCTTTCCTTCGGGCTCCCATTCTTTCTAAGGATGCCAGACTCCGTGGCTGCAAGAACTGGTTACCGATGCCAGCTCAATGCCGAGTTTAGAACGTTAGGAAGTACGCGAGGGTTGCTGTGAATGCAGATTGGGGAACAGAGCCGAAGATTTCCAGGGAAAAGATCAAAAGGAAAACATATTTCTTCTAAATTTCCCTCCCTGTGGACTTCTTTTCCTCTCTTAAGGAAACTGATCCCCAGTGGTGTCTGTCTTTTGGTGAATTGGGGATCCAAGTTGCTCTAGAACGGAGCCTGCTTTTGGGGAAGATCTTTCTGTGGGGAATTAGGAAAACTGCTTTTATTTCTGACCTATTAAATGAGAATCTTGACTCTTCCCTCTGCTAAACACAGAGTTCCTTTGGTTGCCAGAGGAGTTCATCATGCCTCATTTCCAGAGTAATCTACATATGGGCATCTTTATATAGTGGGCACCTTTAAGGAGTACTTATCAGAGGAGAGATAAGTTGGTAGTGATATCTCCCAAAATGGCAACACTAGGTAAGCTACCTATATCTGGAAGTATAATAATTATAGGAGGGTCCCCTAGATATATACTACAGCAAACATTTTTTTACTTATTCTGAAACTTTAGTCTCATAATCATTCAAAAAATATTGAGAGTTTAGTATGGGTTAGGCATTGTTTTTGGACACTTGGGATAAGTCAGTGAACAAAACACAAAAATTCCTGTCCTCAAAAATTGAATTGGGGAAAGCTTACATTCTTCACCTTGCTGTCAAAAGATTGGGCTGCCTTTACTCTCATTCTCAACTCCCTGAGCTAGTGGTGGTTCATTGCACGGAACCATAAACCTCCTAGAGCTCATGGGACAGTTTACCTTTACAGATGCTCTTTCTGGGTCCTTGGCAGTGATCCTTTCCTCCTCACTCTTGGGTCTTTGTGAAACGCATGCTTGGGGAGTATATTGGGCTCCTTTGAGGACTGTGGTTTCCCTAAGTGAGCCAGGAAAGGGAGATAGCAAAGCAGCAGCCTTGTCTGATAGCACAGGGGACAGATATTAGTGGTTAAGTAATATTGATTAGAAAGTCAAGGACTGTGAGCCTGCAAACACCTGTATACATATCACTGCCTTCCCTCCATTCTCTCTCTTTCTCTCCTGGTTAGCAGCAGGTTCTCTAGAAATTGCAAGAGTAGAGGAGCTTTTTACAAAGTGACACACTTTGCAGATACTTGAGTTTTAGTGTAACCATTAAGGTTGAGGCTGTGATTCCTTTATGAGGTCCAGTGTACTCCCAAGTTTGATTCTTGGTAGTGAAGAAACACCCCCTCCTGCTCTTTATCTCCAGTCCCCAGAGTGTTTCTCAGACAGCTCCTCTTCTCATTGCTTCTTAACTTCCCCCAAATTCAGATTGGTTTTTGTCCTGGCAAGTTAAGGGGTGGTGGTCCGAGAATAGTAGCAGAATTGGAATCAAAGGGGAGGTCTGGGAGATGGATGTCTCACTGGGCTGCATTCAGAGTTGGGGTGTGTGTGTGTGTGTGTGTGTGTGTGTGTTCGTGCACTGGCATTTCCCTCTGTTCAGTGGGTGGGTGGTTGAGAGAAGGCTTGCTTTATGCCTCTGCATTGCTACTGCATTGGGACTGCGGAAACTTCCAAGTACAGCAGAGCATTCAGCCCTGTTTTCAAATAGCCTTGTGCAGTGCCTACTAATTAATCTGGTCACATTCCATACTCACCTGTGAGGGAGGGTAAAATAACAGCATGACCTACCTTGATTAAGCGCTCTGTAGGTCTGGCTCAGAGAAACTGTTTATCTGATGCTGCTTAGGAGTCCTTTGTTAAAATGCCCCCCTCTCAATTCGCTTCACTCACCACTTGGTCATTCTCAGTGGGAAATGTCAATATCTAATCAGGTTGGGCTAGGAGACACACGGAGGTGCCCAATGGGACTAGGAGAAGGTATATGGTTTGCCAGTGGTGTCAGGAGCCTTCAAGACTGAAGGTATGTTCCTATCTCTTCAGGAACCCTCCCTGTATACTGTCAAGGCCATCCTGATCCTGGACAATGATGGAGATCGACTTCTTGCCAAGGTAAGATTCCCTTTCAAATTAGTTTAGGAGAGAAACAAAGGCTTACTCTGAGATTTGGAACTGGTCCTATTAACTGATATTTCTTGATACTGTAATTTTAAAAATTCTTCCATCTTTCCCATGACTACTCCAGATAAAACCTAAACCGCTTCTGTCCCTTAGTTGCCCTGTTTCTCTGCTTGCTAGCCTAGACTTTGACCTCCTTTGTTATCAGCATCAGAGCGGTGAAGAACTTTGGCACCTTGGTTTCTGAACAAAGCAGTGTCCGGCTGTGAGAAGTAGCCTGCCTGTGCCCATCACTCCTGTCCCTTTCCCTTCTACTTTTCCAGGGAAATTTCTTGTAGTCCTAGGGTTCCAGCCCTAGGCCTGAAGTTACCACCAAGCTTGTTACCTCCCGGCTTTCCCATTGTGATACTTCTAACTTTGGATCTATTAAAAAAGAAGAGAGAGGACACCTCTCCGCTCTCCTCTGTGTTCTCCCCCTCCTGTAGAAATTTTTTCTGTCCCTGGTGTATTAACTCCGGGCAAGCATAGCATAAATCAATCAGCAGGTAGAGATTAGTTTAGAATTCACCAGCTGTTCCTCCCTGTAATTGGATGTAACTATGCAGGACACCTTTTGAAACAGTTATCCAGTTACTAAATGCCAGACCTGTCATAGGTCTTCAGCTGACTGCGACGGATTAGCCCCTAAAGAGCAGAGCGATTTAGCAGCCTGCATCTCCGCCTCCTTGCCAGCGAGAGCTTGGGAGAGGGCTCAGCAATGTGCTAGATTGCTTCCTGCTTCTTTCAGTTTGCAGACAAGAAAGCTGAGATACGAGAGCACATAGGGTAGGGTTTGCCTTTCTTTAGAAGAGGTTTTTGTAGCCTTTCCAACTTCATACAGTGAATGAGGGTGTGCGGGAAGTGTTCTGTGCCTTTTGTGTTCTCTAGCACTGCTCCCTGACCTGGGGTAGCTCCTGGGAAGCATTGGAGAGAGTGGCCTCAGGATTGCTCTCCTAGAAAATGGGCAGACCTCATCATAGGACTCCCAGGCCTCTGCCCTTACAGTCTTAGAAATGTGAGGTGAGGTTATTTAGAGCAGGGTTCTTAAACAGTTATTTTTGTATCTGATTACTTGCTGCCCATTAGCTGCCTCTGTAGTACTTCCTTCTTTTTTAAATATATATATTTTATAGCTTTTAGAGGGGGAGAGGGAGAGATAGAAAAATCAATGATGAGAGAGAATCATTGATCAGCTACCTCCTGCATGCCTTCACCGGGGGTCAAGCTGGAACCCTTCAGTCCACAAGCTCTATCCACTGAGCCAAACTGGCTAGCGGTTCTTCCTTCTTTATGTCAGTATTTCTGCCTTACCCGTGCCTTCAAAGAGAGAAATCCAAGATCAGGGCAAAACAGTCACTAATCATTCTGGGCTCTGAGCTCTAATGACCCAGCTATTCTCCTTTCCCTCTGACCAGTACTATGACGACACCTACCCCAGTGTCAAGGAGCAAAAGGCCTTTGAGAAGAACATTTTCAACAAGACTCATCGGACTGACAGTAGGTCATTTTCCTTTCACTCCTCCCTGTGTTGGGGGAACCATAGTAGGAAGCGGGTGGCAGCGGGACTGCGGAGAAAGGATAAAATGACTCTGCCTCCTTTTTCTCTTTTTTTCCTCCTCCCCTCATATAATAAACTCTTCAGAAATGTAATGGGGAGGTGAGTGTACCTCACGCGGGAATACCGTGCTGGAAGGTTGGCTGTTAGCTACCTGTCTAGTCCCTGGATTTATGAGCCTCACTTGACAAATTTAACTGCAGCTCTGCTTATTGTACCGCATCCATTAGGGCAGGTAAATGGAAGTCTGTAAAGGTGACCGCTCTGCATTTTCACCTCCGAAGGATCGACTAGTATCCTGTCTCTTATACAAGGAGGGAAATAAGAGTAGTGGGGGAGGGATTAGAGGAGAAGATACATTTACCGGTAGACTTCCCCAAATTTATACTTCCCTTCTGCTACCACCTATAAATAAACAGCAGATCAACTTTGGGGGTCATTCGACCTGCATTACCTCAGCCCAAAACAAATGGGTACCAGGAGTTCATGGTAATTCCTTCTGTCCCACTTTCTTGTCTCAGGCCACCTATTGTTTCCATCTTTCCCCCCAGGTGAAATCGCCCTCTTGGAAGGCCTGACAGTAGTGTACAAAAGCAGTATTGATCTCTATTTCTATGTGATTGGCAGCTCCTATGAAAATGAGGTGAGAATCCCCATCCCTCTTTGCTATCTCTGATCCCACAGGCAGGACATAGTTACTGCTTCTGGGCCTTAAAGAGTACCACATCCCTCTGGCTTCTGACTGGGCTAATGAAGTTTTTAGAGATTCCTGCTGGCTTCACAAAAATGGATTAGCAAACGAATCCACCTAAAATAGGAGTTTTCCCAGATCTTTTTCCCAACACATGTAGGAGATGTATTGGTTTTTTAAAATAAAATTCTTTGTGATTTTTTTATTTATTGATTTTTAGAGAGAGAGAAAAGGAGGAACATGGACTTGTTGTTCCACTTATTTATGCATTCATTAGTTGATTCTCCTATGTGCCCTGACTGGGGATCGAACCTGCAATCTTGATGTATGTTATGATGCTCTAACTAACTCAGCTACCAGGCCTGAGCCTAAAATAATTTTTTTAAAAATAATTTAAAAAATATATATATATTTTATTGATTTTTTACAGAGGAAGAGAGAGGGTTAGAGTGTTAGAAACATCGATGAGAGAGAATCATCAATCAGCTGCCTCTTGCTCACCCCCTACTGGGGATGTGCCCGCAACCAAGATACATGCCCTTGACTGGAATCGAACTTGAGACCTTTCAGTCCGCAGGCCGACGCTCTATGCACTGAGCCAAACCAGTTTCGGCTAAAATAAATTTAAAAAAATATATATTTTATTGATTTTTCACAGAGAGGAAGAGAGAGGGATAGAGAGTTAGAAACATCAATGAGAGAGACATCAATCAGCTACCTCTTGCACACTCCCTACCGGTACATGCCCTTGATCGGAATCGAACCTGGGACCCTACAGTCCGCAGGCCAACGCTCTATCCACTGAGCCAAACCAGTCTCAGCTAAAATAATTTTTTAAATATATTTTTATTGATTTCCAAAAGGAAGGGAGAGGGAGAGAGAGATAGAAACATCAATGATGATAGAGAATCATTGATTGGCTGCCTCCTGCAAGCCCCACACTGGGGATCGAGCCCACAATCCAGGCATGTGCCTTTGACCAGAATTGAACCTGAGCCAAACCAGCTAGGGCTAAAATAATTTTTTAAAATTGATTTCAGAGAGGAAGGAAGAGGGAGAGAGAGAAACGTCAATGATGAGAGAAAACCATTGGCTGCCTCCCACACCCCCCTCTACTGGGGATCAAGCCTGCAACCTGGAATCAAACCAGTAACCTCTTGTTTCATGGGTTGATGCTCAACCACTGAACCAAACTAGCTAGGCTGAATGAGTAATGTGTTTTAAGATGGATTTCTGATATAGGCTGGGGGATGCTTGCTCCTCCTATGAAGATTCCACACCTGACTGAGTTTGGATCAATTAGCCCCCATTTTTGGTTATGTTGAAGCTATACATTCTGAATGGCTTTAGACCTTGAGACTTGTATACTTGAGAAGATAGGATATAGTCCTAACCTGCTTCCTCTGCTCAGGAAAAACTGTTTACCTTAGATAGTAAGTTCTAGGAAGGAGAATAGATGAGTAAAAATAAGCTCCCACATAATTTGAGGCAAAATTAAGTTTGAGAGAACCAACTCTTACTGAGCTCTTATTGCTGTAAGTATTCTGTAAAGTACATTGTTATTGAAACCTTACAGCACTTCTTTGAGTTGTAGGCATTGGTGCCCTTGTTTTGTACATGAAGAACCATTTGAAATTACTAGTCTTTAACCACTGTTGAACTAAAAAAGTGGCAGTTTTATGTGGTTCAACCTAATTTTCCCAGGGTTACACACGTAGAAAATGGCTCAGCTGGAATTTAATGCCAGATTTGTCTGACTTCAAAGCCCATGCTCTTTTGACCAACTCTCTGATCTCAGCTATTTCCTGGTTAATGATTTCTCTATCTAAGATATCAGATAATGTATACAGTTGGTAAATACATGTAGAGCAAGCATGCCAAACTCACAGCCGGTGTGCTGCAAGTTTGACATGCTTGATGTAGAGGATTATGACAGGAAAGTTCTGTTTGAACAGTCTGGTCAAAGAGAGACATCAAATTGTAAGATCACGTGGCAGAATTTATTTCTGTTAGGAGAAACCACAGGTCCTCTTTCTGTTTTGCTCTCACTTCCACCTTATGCTTTTGGTCCTTTTGAAAGCCTTTGTCTTTTGATGCTTAACCAATTTGAGGGTTTTATTTTTAAGTAGCAGCTTGGAGAGTCTCAAACCTTATCCTTCTGCTTTTTCTGTCTCCCAACAGCTGATGCTCATGGCTGTTCTGAACTGCCTCTTTGACTCATTGAGCCAGATGCTGAGGTGAGCAGTCCATTCTTGACATGTGTTTGGGAGAGAAAGTAACTATTCTTTAGGCCCAGGGATTTGTGGGGAATCAGCAGAGACTCCAGAGAGCTGATTTACCTTCAGAAGTTGGGCTTATTATTTCAGAGTAATTCACACTGTTGGGGAAGACTGGAAGAATAGAGAGTATTTCCCTCTGGGATAATCCTCCCAAGAAAAAGGGGATTGTAAGGGAGCAGAATCTTCTCCTCTGTGACTACTCTATTCCCCAGTGGCTCTGACAAAGCACCCTTAAAATGCTTTCCTGGGCTTCATTCTTTACATTAGAGATCAGAAAGGGGCAAGCATAGGGAAATGTCCCAGATGAAACATCTCAATACTTTGGGAATGGAGTCAACGCCTCCAATTTTCCACTTTAGCCCTTAGTTTTTTCCCTTCTGTAGAACAGGAAGAATGTGCCAATACCTTCTTCTCCCCTTCCATCACTCCCCCAGTCCTCTGTTCCCCATGTAAGATACTCTTCCTGAAAATGTATAGGGCTCTGAATTTCATTCCCCCAGCACAGCTCCCCAAGTGAACCCAGCACAGACAGCCGTCCGGAGGAGAACAGCAGGCATTCTCAGCCTCACAGAATCAGCAGGGTGAATGGCTCAGCTTTCCTCAGGAAGGGGATGATTTATTTCTGAGCCAGGTGAATGAAAGACTTCATTCCGGGTAATCTAGTGAAAGCGTCAGACTGACGGATGTGACTGGCCACAAACCAACCACCGGATCTGAGGCTGGTGGATGCTGTGGCCCTGACTGTTCCCAACCCCCTTGTTGGGCTTCTTTTCAAGACCTGAGCAGAGCTGTGGGGGGAGGTGGGAAGGAGGAGGAAGAGGAAAAGCAGTAGAGAGAGGCTTAGAAGGCTTGTCAGAGCTTGAGTGCAAACAGAGTTTGCACTCAACCCCTCCCCGCCTCCCGCCACCACTAGATTGAGTTTTAGCTCTGTTTATTTCCTTTTTTCCACCCACTGATGTCAGCATTTATGAGCAATATCATGAGCAGCATTGTGGCAGGTAGGAAAGAAACAATAGCTCTGGATAATCAACCCTTGACTAGTCGGAAATTAATTATTTTTTAAATCTCTTTCCTGACATTCTTTTTTTTTTTTTTTTTTTTTTTTTTTTTTTAAATATATTTTATTGATTTTTTTTACAGAGAGGAAGGGAGAGAGATAGAGAGCTAGAAACGTCGAAGAGAGAGAAACATCGACCAGCTGCCTCTTGCACACCCCCTACCGGGGATGTGCCCGCAACCAATGTACATGCCCTTGACCGGAATCGAACCTGGGACCTTTCAGTCCGCAGACCGACGTTCTACCGCTGAGCCAAACCGGTTTCGGCTTTCCTGACATTCTTGATCCTTTCTCAGGAAAAAAAAAAAGTAGGAAGGGGTTTAGAGTGGATTAGCTAAAAAGTTCTTATTTACCTTACTTATTTGTGTGGTTGGTGAAAACATTTATTGGTTTAGTGCAGGATCCCAACTCGGACGATGTCCTAGGATTGCTTTCACACATGGGCTCGTTTTTCTTTTTTCTGGGGGACGCAGGAAAAATGTAGAGAAGCGAGCTCTGCTGGAGAACATGGAGGGGCTCTTCTTGGCAGTGGATGAAATCGTAGATGGAGGGTGAGTTCTCTCTGATTTGCCTGGAGCTCCCTGGACCATGTGTGTGTGTGTGTGTGTGTGTGTGTGTGTGTGTATGTGTGTGTGTGTGTGTGTGTTGGGGGGCGGTTGGTAACTGCCCTATCCTAAGGCAAGTGGTCTGAGTGGCCAAATCATCTCCACAGTGAGTTGGTCCCTCAGGAGAGTGAACGATGGTCTCTCTGTCTTTGTAGGGTGATCCTAGAGAGCGATCCCCAGCAAGTGGTACACCGAGTGGCATTAAGGGTAAGCAGGAGTGTTCCTCTGTATTCCTCCATCTGCTCATTTCCCAGGGCCAGATTTGCAGAGGGTATCTAAGGGTTTGGGCTTGTAGAATATATACAGTCTTCTCCTTTTTCAAATTCTCACTGTCCCAAAGAAGGCAAGCACAGGAATGTTATTTCTGCCCCTAACCTGGTACCTAGCACCTCAAATGGTCTTTGCATAGAGTGCACATTTAATACATACTCACTGAATCAGTGATGAATTAGGGATTTTAATATCGCTGGACCTGAAACTATAAAGGAACTTGAAGTTGGTTTACTCTTCCTTTGGGGTGGATCACAGTCATTTGAAGAGAGTCTTCCTTTTCTTTTAAGGTCTTATAGAATGAGGATAACACCTCTTCATCAGGAAATACTTATTTGCTAGAACCTCAGTCCTCTTTGGTGCTAGCGATAGCAGAAAGGGGACTCTGAATTAACCATAGAAGGCTCCAGGTGTGCTGGGGAGATAATGATGGGTGCAGAGAGAGTCCACCAGGAAATCGTGGGGATGCAGAGATGTCTGAGCAAAGCACATCTTCCCATTCACAGAATGTCCCATCTCTGACCTCCACAGAGTGAAGGCTGACAGTGCTGGGTAATGGGAAATCTTTTCCCTTAACTGCCGTGGGCTCCATTTGCATAGTTTAATCTTCTCCTCTAACATATGTCTCTATGTGGCAAGAGAGAGGGGCCCCCCCCCCACCAGCTCCCTCCTTCCCCTTCTCAGGCTGCTGTTGCAGCAGTTTATTTCTTCAAATTAACATGCTGCCGTTACCCATCAGGCCTTGCAGGATCCATTAAACTATCCCTGGCTCCCCCTCATCCTTTCCCTAGTGATATTGATATTCAGGGAAGGTCTTCTCTGATTAGGGAATCAGGTCCTCCTAAGTTGTGGATCACATAACCTGCTAATGACTTGGAATTGAATAAATCTTTTAAGAAGTCCTCCTGCCTTAAAATAGAGGATGGATGAAAGGACCATTTTTTGCTCACAGTCCCCCTGGCCAAGTAAAATCTTGGTTATGCTAGTCCCTAGGAAGGACTGAGAAATTTAAGGTATCTGCCCTTTGCTTCTGTTTAAAGGACCATCACTACCAAACGGCAATTAGGTCTTGCTCCAGCTTTCTCTCACGCTAAATGCCGTTTCCTCTGTGTTGTAGGGTGAAGATGTCCCCCTTACCGAGCAGACCGTGTCTCAGGTATGACTTTTTCCTTTCTTCCAATGGACTGGATCACTAAAGAGGCTAGAATAGCATTCCACAAAGTCTGAATGAAAGTAAAAATTGAAGGCACATCTTCCTGGACTCCCTCATATTCTAGAGAATTGGAATTCACACAGCCAAATTCTCCTACCCCACCCCAGCTTCCACCCCAGTTCCCTGTGAGCAGTGGCTGTTAGCCTTGGCGTGTACCCTTCAAACCCTCACTGCCTGATGCTTCATTCAATGATTTATTCCTCGGCAGAGGCTTGCCTTAAGCAGATGGTCGGTGTGTACACACACACAATCTCTCTCTCTTATTATTCAAATGAGGGCTAAGTTGGAAATGCATATTCTAGAATATGCAGGTTTTACAGATCCATCCTGCTCCTTTGCAAATAGATTTGTCTACCTGAAGGGGGGAGTAAGGGAGAGATTCTGTTTTCTACCCATTTGGAATTCTCACTAAGAAGTCCATCTGGGTGTGGTAGCATACACACAACCCTTTGAACATATGTCCAGTAACCCCCAGTTTTTTTCTTTCCTCCCAGGTATCCCTCTTCTCTCTTCATCCTCCTAATGGATTTGAAATTTTTTGCAATTTCTCAAATTGACAATCTTCTAGGGCCTTAGAGAGCTTCTTCCCATTCTTCTACCTTTGGGGATTTTCTACTTGCCATTCTTCTAAGGACAGGGAAGGCAAGTGAGGGGAAAGAAAGGCCCGTCCCCATCCCCACCCTCCCCCCAGCAAGCCCCTCAATGCTGCCCTTGTCCCTGCAGGTGCTGCAGTCAGCCAAAGAACAGATCAAGTGGTCACTTCTTCGGTGAAGACCCCACTGTTCCTGGCTCCTCACCCCCTCAAAAAATCCACATGTCTGCCGAGACTTCTCATCCAGTCCCCCAACTGATGCTCTCAGGATCATCTCGGGGATCACAAGGGATCCTAAAATCACCATCCTGTCTGTGGTTGCTGCCCCCAAACCCCTAGGCGCTTCCCATACCTTCTCTCTCTCTCTCTCTCTCTCTTTCTTTCTTTTTTTTTTTTTTTTTTTTTTTTACAGTTAAGGGAATAAAGCTCCCAGGAGATGTGGGTGCAGGGCAGCGGAAGCACCTCTTCCTTTCTAGACTGGATTATGCTCCCATGTCCTCCTACCCCGCATATTTTCTTCACTTCTGTGCCCTTTGCCGCAGCTACAGGTCAGATCAGAGCAGGAGAAAGAATGTGCTGAGTGTTTTTCTCCCTCTACTTTTATTCAGCCTTCATCCCAACTGTCCGTATGTCAGCAAGGGGAGGGAGAGGGAGATCTTTTCTATAGAATGAATGCGGGGGTTGGGATAGGTGTATCTGGTCTCAGCCACAGCCCTTTACTAGCCTCAGCATTTTCTACCATCCCTTCTTCCTGCCCCATCCTCCAGTCTTGGAAAAAAAGATTGGAACAGCTCAAAGGCAGGGTAAGAAGTTATTTAAATTTTACTGGATAGGGCTTATAAGATTCTGTATTTCAGTCACAGCTGCATTCTTTACCCTGAGTCTGGCTTCTAGCTTCAAAACTGCCGTGGTCTGCGTGTTCACTGTGGGAGTGTCCATTTCTTGGTCCCACACCTTAACTCTACCTTCCCTCCCCGGGGACTGTCCTCTCTACCCTGGAGGAAAGCCAGTCCCTGAACCAAAACTCTGTTCTAGTCTTGGGAGGAAGAGTTTCTGCTCAGAACTAGGGAGGGGGTGGAATTTATGGCTAGGGCCTCTGGGCTCTCTCAGTCCTGTTTGCTCCCCCACATGCTTTTCACTCCCCTGCCTTGGGCCTGCAGTCTCCGCCGCTTAACCCTATCATCTCCGCCTCAGCCTTCTATCCGGGCGTAGGTCTGGGCTCTTCCCCTAGGTCCCTGCGAGAGATACCTTTCTTCAGAAAACCTTCAGGATGTGGATTTCCCCAGGGAGATGGAGGATGGAACACCCACTCTTGAGTCTAATCTTTTCTCTTGACCCAAAACTTCCCAGGAAAACGTCTCAAAAAACCTTCTTCCTGAGACTTAGGGTTCTGCCTCACCCACTCTCTGCTCATTCTCCAAGACTGAAGTGGGGTGCACAACTGGGCATATTTGAGGGGGCATTTTTGTGTAAGAGATGTCTGGAGTCAGGGGATAGCCACCTTCATATACTGCTCTGTGCAAAGTGGAATAAAACAGATTTCTTTTTCCAAACTGCCTTTGTGTGATGTTTCTGCTCCTCTTGCTCTCTTTTTGGCAGCTGCTCCTATTCCTCTAGCATTCCCCCCCCCCCCCATCTTATAATATTTCTTCCCTCTACCTCAGAGACTCCCCAGCACTCTCCCCCACCATCACTGCCATCCCTAATTTACTGGCCTGTTTGCCTCCTTGGCATCTCTCAGTCCCCTTGCCTGGAAATTGGCGCCAGGGGTGGGGTGGGATAGTATTTTCTCAGTGGGAGACCCAGGGAACTGAGTTCTCCTCCATCCCCCCCAAAGCCAGCTGCCTGCTCCCGCCTCAGCCATTAGTAACCCGGAGACGAGCACCTGCGTGGGGGCTCTCCTCCAGACCCTGCTCCCTTCCTGCACCTCCCACTCCTGCTCTGAAATGGCGCTGAGCGGGTTATTTATCGGAGCCAGTGCTGCTCCAGAAGGTCAGGACGGTGGTGTAAATAACCTCTTCTCGCCATTTCCCCTTCCCTCCAGAGCCCGCTCCCCTCCCCCTCCTCCACCTTTAGTCTCACAAATGAATGTGGCGGGGCTGGCGCAGAGCCTGGCCCTGCATCTTAATGGGGCAGTGAGCTCACAAGATGGATTTAGCTGGGGATTTTATGGTTGCCGCGGCGACAAGAGAATGCTTTGGTTTTCTTTCCCCCTTCCTCTGCAGGATTTTAAGGAGGGGAAAGTGTGGGGAACTCTTCTCTGCATTGCTGTGTGAGGGTCTCCTTCTCAGTCACCTCTGCTGCTCATAAAATGGGCCTGCAATTCCAGAATTCAGCAAGAGAAACCGCATTTAGGACCTCAGATAGGAAAGGGCGAAGGAAAGAATGTAATGAGCCTCTCCAGCTTCAAGACATTGAAACCTAGCGTTGTCCAGTCTTGCCTACTTTTCGGTGAGAACCTGGTGATTAAGCTGAGCAGCTATGGGGCACCTATGCTCGGGGTCCTTCTCAGCAGATAGAAAATGCGTGGATATGCCATCCCTGCAGTCCTGCATTGAAAATTGGGATACAGGGGCTCGATGAGGGCTAGTGATGTGTCTGCAATGGGGTGGAGCGCTGTCGGGCATCACCATCCTGATCTTCCTGCTCATCACTCAGCGCTGATGCTGTCAGGAGGCATGTCAGGGTGAGAATTGGTAGGTGCTGATCATTGACAGTGTGGAGAATGGAGTTCTCTCCAGTTCTCAAATTGGAAATTTTTCAGAGCTTGTTTTCCCAGCCTGGCCTGGTTTGAACTTTTCCTGCCTTCTGTTTCCCACTGGGAATGGAACTCTGGTTCCCTGACTTACCCAGTCCTCTGGCCAACAATTTTCTTTCAAGACTAGGAGCAAATCATCCCCAGCACTGACTAAGCAGAGACTGGGGAGCAGGGTCTGATTATCTCCCTCCTTTGGTCCCTTTCTGTCTGATTCAGGGCCTCTTGTCTGTGTTTATGAGCCTTTCCCTCTTCCCCAGGGGATCCTGGGAAGCCCCTCCTCCCCTCGCCCCCTTCCTCCTCTTTGGCTGGGAAAGTGACTGCAGCCTGAACAGTGCCAGACACCTGCCTGCCAGATGTGGCGATTCCTCATTCTTCTCTCCCCCCTCCCCAAATGTCTATCCTTTCCCCACCCCACTGAGCTCAGGCAGAAAGAGCCCCCCCACAGGGTGATTTAGTACCACAGCCCCTCTTCCTCAGTGCCCCCTCAGCTCCTCTTCCTCCCCTGGTGCCCGTGCTCCTCCCCTCTTTTCCACCTCGTCCTGCAGAGGCTTTTCTGGTGCTGCCTCCTCCCATTCCCACTCCGGGGACCTGGCTGTGTGAGCCCCACTCCTGGCCTGGAGGAGGAGTGGGTGGGGCGGAGGTGACTGGCCTGTTTCCCCCATGGGAGAGTCCATCAGCAGGGCTGAGGACGGGCAGCCAGAGCTGATGTCATTCTCAGTGGCGGGGAGGGGAGGTGGACAGGGAGGAGGAGGTGAGGGGGAGGGAACCAGCACTCCCGCACTGCAGAGGAGAAAGAGGGCTCAGAGATCTTCCCAGGTAGGCAAGGGAGCTCCGAGCTGTGGCTGCCCAGTAGACATAATACCTTTGTTTCTCTGGCTGGTTTCCAGAACTTGTCTCTGGATCTGTGTCTCAATATGACTCAGGAGATGCCCCTCAGCTCCTCTTCTCTAGACCTAAAACACACACTTTAAGGAAACTCTTACTCCTTTCCCTCTCTCTTGTATGCCTTTATAAATCTCTCTCCCCTCCCATTTCACCCCTTCTCCCTCCATTGAACGATCTTGGTCACCTGCTCCCTTCCCCTGCCACTTTCATCCCATATCAATACACAATATGATCCCAGGCTGCCCACCACGGCAGGGCTCCCCCAGAGCCTCCTTTCTCTTTCCCATCCCTCCTTGAAATCCGACTGTCCCCCTGGTCTCTAGGGTGGCAGTGAGGTAGGGGAATGGCTGGGCCGAGGAGGGCAGGGACAGGACAGATGGAGAGTCCAGTGAAGTATGTGAAGGACAGGAAGGTCAAAAGAGAAACACAGTGTGAGTGAAAACGTGACGGGGAGACAAAGGGGCAGAGGCTAAGAGTTAGCAGGAAGCCAGCATAACAAGCTGGGAGAGTGAGAGAAACATAAACAGCAGCAAAACTGGGAGCAGAGAAGAAGAATGGAGAGATGAAGACAGGAAAGTCACAGCTCGAGAAGGCAGCTGGGGAGGGCTGGGCATGGGTCAGGCTGGCTCTCCTGGGCTCACTCCCTCCTTCGGATGGACCATAAATCTGTGTCTGTCTGCCCATCCATGTGCATGCACGCACTGCACATGTGTGCAGGGGTTGGTGGTGGGCACAGGGATGATTCCCACAATATCCTCATTCCCATTTGTTTCCGGAGCCTCCCTCCTTGAGGCACCCCACACCAACCCATTTCCCAGCATTCCTGATGTTGCAAAGGGCCATTCCCAAGGTATTTCCACTCCTCAGGAATCCTGGCCTTCTCACTTGGAATGCAGACCTGCTGGAATGTGCAGTCAGGATCTATAGACTCGAGAGGCCCCATCCCCTCACTGCCCACCCCAGGCCTGCTCACCAGCTGCTCCTGTCCATCTTCTCCTCCCACTCTCCTCCTCAGTGACCCTCCCCCCAGCCTCTTACCCTTAGCTGGCTGGGGCCCAGGTTGGAGGGGAGACAAAGACAGGATTTATCACCAGGATAGAGAAGCAGCCAGAGACCAGGGCAAGGGCAATGGCTGACCTCCCTGGGCTGGGAGGGAGTGCTTCACCAGATGCTGGGAGACTGGGAGCCTGGGTTCCAATGGCTCTTGCTAAAAACCCCCGCCTTTTCCCATTCCAACCTCGTTCTCTTCCTTGTCCCTGGAAACTTAGAACAGAGAGAGGATGCCTCCAGATGATTTTAGGCCTCTGAAGGAAAACCTGGGAGGAGATGGGTGTCTTAAGACTATTCTCTTATGGCTAACGGAGGAGGATTTGGAAACCAGGTAGCAATCAGGCAACGGTTATTTCCAGGACCAGAAAATAGTTCAGGTTTAGCACTGCAACAGATGAGATGGAGAGGGACTTCCCCTAAAATAGATGAATTCTCTCAAGAACAGGCCCTGATTACCAGGAGGGAGAGAGAAAGATGATTCTTGAT